AGCAACAACAAAACAATGTTGCTGGAGACGGGTTTATTGAAAATCCAAACTCATTCTCTGCCAGCAGGAGGCGCTTTTAGAGTGATAAAACTAGCGGTTTGCCTGGTAACGGCTGTAATCACAGCAGCTATGAACGCTACTTTATCAGATAAAATGAAAATGTCATTGAAACTTTTCTGAAGACAGTCGGTTCCCTTCACAGATACATTTATATAAAACACCCGCGACATTTTTTGATTTTGAAACGTGCAGTGCTCATGTTTATTCAACGAAGTCAAACGGCACAAATAAATCAATGTATGGGAAACACTGGTAATGTATATCGAAATATCGGAAATGTGTTTAAAAATCATATCACCGTTATTGAAAAAAATTATATCGCGATACATATTGATATTGAATTATTGTCCAGCCCTAGGTAAAATGCAACGCTCAATATAGCGACTCTATCGAAGGAAGCCCCGCCTTCTGAATAAAAGAGCCAATTGCTAATCGGTAAAGTCAGCACATCACTGCAGCTGGCATAAGAAGTCCCGGCTGTTATAGAAACAGTCTGCATTCTAAGACATGCGTTTTGGACTGCGCGTGCGCACTGGCTGGTCTAGCTAGAAAAATAAGCTTTTTTAAAGCTATTTGACAAAAAGAAACAACATTTTATGAAACAATTGTTGTCAGATTACATCGGTCGACCTCTATATTTAACTAATGATAAGAGTAAATACAATGCCAACAATACTGGACCCGATCCTAACTATCACAGGACCTCAGAGAAAATAAATAGCACTGACCTGGTCACGCAGTCAAGCTCATCTGGAAGGTTATCAGCGAGATTGTTAAGATCACGAGCAATCTGAAAAACTCTCTGTTTCAAAGCGAGCGCTGAGGTTTCTGAGCAGCCTGCAGGCAAATGAACACAGAGCAAGTGTACAGAAAAACACGTGGTTATACAAATATTACATATCTAGTGCAGAAAAAAAACTGTCAAAACATTATTTGATCATCATTAGGGATAGGTACCGAAACCCGGTATTTAATCGGTCCCGGGGCTAAATTATGAAAGACCAGAGTATCGATAAGCTCTGACGTTAACGGTTCTGCAAACACTAAAAATGCCTGCACACTGGTGCATTTACAAATTGATGTTTTATATTCATTTCATTAAATATTTATCTTACATTTCAGAATATAAAGCAATGCTAATTCAGCTCTTAATTTGTCATATATATATATATATATAAATAACAAAAAGTACCGATAAGAATACCGTTAAAGTACCGAATCGATAAGCAGTATCGGTAAGAGTAGTAATACCATTAAAACCTTAACGATACCCATCCCTAATCATCATTACATGCAAGTACATTAGAATAGCACAGCCATAACACTAACAAGAATACAACTGATCTCACCAGACATCATTTCCTGTAGATTCTGATAAATGAGCAATCCAGCCTGTTAGGGAAATAAAAGATTTTTATTAACATCAAGATGTACATGTCAAATCGATAATATAGCCTAATATTATATTCATAAATACATACAGTTGAAGTCAAAAGTTTACATACACCTTGCAGAATCTGCAAAATGTTAATCATTTTACCACAAAAAGAGGGATCATACAAAACGCATGTTATTGTTTATTTAGTACTGACCTGAATAAGATATTTCGCATATGATATTTCATTGAATACGACGTTTACCTATAGTCCACAAGAGAAAATAATAGTTGGATTTATAAAAATGACTCAAAGGTTCATTCAAAAAATGTTCAAAAGTTTACATCCCCTTGATTCTTAATACTGTGTTGTTAGCTGAATGATCCACAGCTGTGTTTTTTTGTTTAGTGATAGTTGTTCATGAGTCCCTTGTTTGTCCTGAACAGTTAAACTGCCTGCTGTTCTTCAGAAAAATCCTTCAGCTCACACAAATTCTTTGGTTTTCCATCATTTTTGTGTATTTGAACCCTTTCCAACAATGAATGTATGATTTTGAGAGCTATCTTTTCACACTGAGAACAACTGAGGGACTCATATGCAACTATTACAGAAGGATCAAATGCTCACTGATGCTTCAGAAGGAGAAACCATGCATTAAAAGGGGCATCGGATGCCCATTTTCCACAAGTTGATATGATTCTTTAGGGTCTTAATGAAAATTCTATAACATAGTTTGGTTAAAATTTCTCAATGGTAGTGTAAAACAACACCCTTTTACCCTGTCAAAAACAGCTCTGTTCACAGCAAGCCGTTTCGGTGCATGTCTCTTTAAATGCTAATGAGCTCTGCTG